ATGGGTTAGCCTGGTGATGGGTATTAAAGAGGGCACATTCTGCGTGGAGCACTGGGTGTTATGCACAAACAATGAATCATGAAACACTGCATCAAAAACTAATGATGTAATGTATGGTGGTTAACATAACAATAAAAAAATTATTAAAAAAAAAAAAATAGCATTTAGCGTCAGAGGACTTGAGACTGAACATTGTAGCACCAACAATCAAGTGAACATCTAAAGATAAACTTTAATGCTTTCACCTCAGCTTTCACTATTTGCTTCCTCTCAACTGCACCAGAAGTAACTAAGAGACGGTCACATTCCTGTAACCATGGAAGTTCTTAGCCACTTGAATGACACTTGAAACAGGCCCAGCAAACAAAGAGGGTTACTCTTCAAAGGCCACAGTACCGGTCAGAGGCCAAGGTAGGAAAAAACTAGGAAAACGCCAGCACAGAGACTCACGTGATCCTCGGTGGTATCAGTCATAAGATCAGAAATAAGGAAGAGAATATACACCAGGCAAGGTAGTTGACAATGTTCTTTGAAAGTTGATTCAATGTTTAATTGACTCTCTGAACCACTTGGCTACCAAAATGAACAAGTAAGAGATAAAAATAGAAACTGGGGAGGAAAGATGAAACCTCTCAGCTGTACTCTAAGACAAGCTAAATGCAAGATCATGAGCAAGTGTTTCTGCTTTTCTGGGTCTGTTTCCTTGCTGATCTGAAGAAAATTAACTGAATGGTTTCCATGTTCCCTTCCAGCTACGGAAGTTTAATAGAATCCCAGTACAAATAAAAGGAGTGAAAAAAATAACTTAAAAAATTGTCTAGGAGAGGAAGGGGACCAAAAAAGGGGGAGGGGGGAGAATGAAATAGGGGAGAGTGAAATAATTTTTTTCTATTGCCTGTATAAATATTTCAGTTGTAACATGCAGTTTGCTATACATTCTTACCCATGATGTATTCTTGTTTCCACTGTCTAAGACCTAAATCCAATGCCTTATAACCCAACTCACATTACAAAATGTGGTTGGTAGAATAGAGAAGAACCTAGGCATTTCTTGTCAAAGTGGATGTTTTATCTCAAAGACTAGAGTCACAAAGTCGAGCCATGCTACATAATATTCCTGAGAAATATGTGCAATAATTTTTATCAAACCTACATTATTTCATTTGGTTTTGCTTTATGTGGATCATTAATCCCAACTATACTTGGTCTTAAGCACATAAAAGCTGACCTCTGTTACCTGCAGTTCTCATTTTATTCACCAAAATGGCATATCACTACCTACTGATGTCTTCTCCTTTAGAAAATCCTCAGTTGTTCAGAAAAGACAGTAACATATCTTTGTTTAAAACTTCTAAAATGTTTATGCTATTTGTGAGCACCATTATTGAGCCATGTACAGACCACACAGGCATTCTCTTATTCCTCCAATTCTTTTACTCTCCAAAAACACTAATATAGATATAAAAGAGCCCTAGAATCTAACATTATATTAGCTTCAGGTTGGGATGCCAACTTACCATGAAGTCTCACTAAATTCACAGGTATGAAATACACACACTCCCCTAACACGGTAGCTCATATTCAGTGATAAATTTCTCATGCAAATGAAAAATCTCCAAATGTGTATGTTCAATTTACCATGCACAATTTAAAATACATAATACATATACATATTATTAATATACATTTATATAAATAAATATTATATATAAATGTTCTACAAATAAATGTGCTCTGATTATTAAGCCAGAATCTATAAAGGATACTAAGTTAAATAAGGCACAATTCCCAAACTCAGAAAACTTACAAACTGGTTGAAGAGATAAGACTGGAGGATTACTTTTCTATATGAAGTATTAATAAAAATAACAATTAACATTTACTGACTATTCACTATGTAGAAGCCACTTTTGCATGACACTTAAATGTATTGAGTTATTTAATTGACACAATAACTTCCTATGGTAGATGCCATTATTAAATTTATTCTATAAATAAGAAAAATAAAGTTTAAAATACACTGTTTGTATTTATAAGATGTTTTATGTAGGCCTCATGTTAACCACAAAGCAAAAATCTACAGTAGATTCACAAGAAATAAGAAGGGATCAAAACATACCACTACTATGGACAATTGTCAATTCACAGAAAAGACAGCAAAAAAGGAAAATCCCTGAGATTTCGTACACTGAAATTATAAGACATTGATGAACAAAATTGAGGAAGACACAAATAATGGAAAGATACTCTGTGCTCATGAATTGGAAAAAATATAGTTAAAATGTCCATACTGCCCAATGCCATCTACAGATTCAATACAATCCCAATCAAAGCTCCAATGGCATCTTACACAGAAAGGGGAAAAGAATCCTAAAATTCATATAAAACCACAAAAGATCCCAAATAGATAAAGCAACCCTGAGAAAGAAGAACAACGCTGGAGACATAGGCTTCCTGATTTTAAACTTTATTATAAAACTATTGTAACCAAAACAGTATGATTCTGGCATAAAAACAAACATATAGACCAATGGAACATAATCAAGAATTCAGAAATAGGATCGGCTGAAGCGGCCCGGTTGCGGCCTGCTGGACCATGCTGAGCGGAGCGTGCGGCTGGCTCGCCTCAGCGCTGTGGGGTCCACGCATGCCACCGTTCGCGGTCGCCCGTAGGTGCCTTCACACGTCGGGGTCACAGCGTCCGCGGACAAGAGCAAGAGCCCCGGAGACCCGCCCCGCGCCTTCGACCCGGCGCTGCTTGAGTTCCTGGTGTGCCCCCTCTCCAAGAAGCCACTCAGATATGAAGCCTGAACAAATGAATTGATTAATGAGTTGGGAATAGCCTATCCAATTATTGATGGGGTCCCTAATACGATACCGCAGGCAGCTAGGATGACACATCAAAATAAGAAGAAGAAATGGAGCGGCACTAGATCATAATTAAAAACAGCAACACACACAACTAAACTTTCTTAATAGCACTTACCTTTTTAAAAGTCAGAGTGGCAGGTAATAAATGGGGGAGAAGAATGTTTCTGTCTCTTCCTACATTGACTGTCCTTATTCCGTTGGTCTCTTTAGCAGGACTGTCCTACTCAGCCTCCATGGAAGAAAACTTCCCACAGGGCTGCACTAACACAACCAGCCTGTGCTTTTATAGTCTGCTCCTGCCCATTACCATACCAGTTTATGTGTTCTTCCACCTTTGGACTTGGATGGGTATTAAACTCTTCAGGCATAATTAATACAACCAGAGCCAAGAGGACATATATGTCATGTCTATCTCTGAAAGCTCAACTACATGGAAATACTGGAAACCCACTTAAATTGCAGGAAAGATGCTTTGCCTTGCTTCTCTCAGAGGTTTAGGACTATGGGAGGCCTAAGCTGCAGAAGTTTCTTTTGTATTTTTTGTTCTGCCCTTGTTTTTTGAAAATTCTAATTTATAACTACTGTATCAGAAGAAACACTTAAGCAGTTTCTTGTTGGAAATTAACAGTCCCAACCATCACCTAATGACTTTCTTACCCTATTCATCTAAAAATTAGTAATTAAAATTTTTATATGTTTACTTTAAAGTATTTGGCAGAGTTACATGTTAAGGATGACTAAAATAATTCATTCCAAAGGAGTTGTTATGTTGGAGTAGTTGTAGAGAAACGTATTTGAGCTAGTGTGCTATAAAACTACAATAAAAGGGAAATTTCATGTACTTGCAAACATTCTGCGTTTGTAAAATTATCTTCGTTTGTCATCAAATGCTTACATTAGTAATAATAAAACAAGATGACACTTTTCCATTAAAAAAAAGAATTCAGAAATAAACCCATCATAAACAGTCAACTAGTATTTGACAAGGAAGCCAAAAATACTCAATGAAACTTCAGCTGAAAGTCAATGAACTCTCCCACAAATGGTGCTGGGAAAACTGGATAACCACGCAAAAGAATAAACCCGGACCCTTATTTTGGACACAAAATTTAACTCAAAATAGATTAAGACTTAAACATAAGATCTAAAACTGTAAAACTACTAGAAAAAAAGGGGGGGAAAGCTCCTTGATATTGGTCTTAACAATGATTTTTCGCATATGATACCAAAAGCACAAGCAACAAAAGCAAAAATAAACAAGTGAGACTACATCAAACTAAAAAACTACTGCACAGATAAAGAGACAACTAGAAAAATTACAAGACAATGAATGGAATGGGAGAAAATATTTGCAAACCATCTCTCAAACAAGGGGTTAATATCCAAAATATATAAAGAACTCATCTAACTCAATAGAAAAATAAACCAAACAATCCAACTAAAAAGTTGGCAGAGGACCTGAATAGATATTTTTCCAAAGAATACATACAAATGGCCAGTAGGTACATGAAAAGAGGCTCAACATAACCATCGATCAAGAAAATGCAAATCAAAACCATAATGAGATATTACCTCACATCTGTTAAAATGATGATTATCAAAAAGACAAAAGATGACAAGTATTGGCAAGGATGGTGAGAAAAGGGAACTTTTATGCACTGTTGATGAGAATGTAAATTGGTGCAGCCACCTTGGAAAACAGTATGGAGTTTCCTCAAAAAATTAAAAACAGGGGCACCTGGGTGGCACAGTCAGTTGAACAACCAACTCTGGTTTCAGCAATCCCACTTCTGGGTACGTATCCAAAGGAAATGAAATCAGAATATTGAAGAGAGAGCTGCTCTCCCATGTTCATTGCATCGCAGCATTATTCACAATAGCCAAGACACAGAACCCAACCGTTGTCCATTGACAAAAAAAAACCTGAGTGTCCATGATGAATGGACAAAGAAAATGTGGTATGTGTGTTTCTGTGTGCGTGTGTGTGTATTATATATGTGTGTATATAATGTGTATATATGTATATAATAATACACACATCCAATGGAATGTGATTCATCCATAAAAAAAGAAGAAAACCTTGCCTTTTGCAATTGCATGGATGCACCCTGAGGGCATTATGCTAAGTGAAATAAGTCAGACAGAGAAATACAAGTACTGTATGTTCTCACTTATATGTGGAATCTGAGAAAGCCAAACTCAGAGAAATAAAAAGTAGAATGGTGTTTGCCAAGGCTGGGGACCTGGGGGAAAGTGGTGAAGGCGGTCAACAGGACAAACTTCCAGCTAAAAGATGAGTAAGTTCTGGGGATCTAATATACAGAATGGTAACTACAGTTAACAATACTGTATCAAATACTTAAAAATTGTTAAGAGAGTAAATCTTAAGTGTTATCACCACACCAAAAATAAATAAATAAATACATAAATAAGGTAATTATGTGAGAGGGATGGAAATGTTAACTAACTTTATTCTGGTTATCTTTCCACAATATATATGTATACCAAATCATCACATCATATACCTTAATCTTACTTATATGTCGACAATATCTCCATAAAGCTGGAAAAATAAATAAGAAAAACGGATATAGAAAGGGTATGTAAATCTCACACACATAAAAGTCAAAGTCAGAATTCTAAGCAGGCATTTGTTAACCACTGTGCTATATTGCATTAATACACCAGACACAGTATAAACAAGGGCACAAGGCAGCCAATTATCAATTAGCAAATGAGTGTTACAAATAATGTGTAGTTAAGGATAATATGACATTTGATGAGTCCTTGCTACATTTAGGTTTTGTGCAATCCAGAGCCAAGACAGTGAATATTTATACTTCATGCTGTGGGTTTTACACCAATGGTTTAATGTTTGATTATCACCTACTTTATGCAGAGCCTCAGTGACTTACTTCATAAAATAAATTCCATGTGTGTCAACTGCCAGGAACCCAAAATGTATATCATTGCTCATTAATACATTGAAGATTTTACCAAAAGTATTCCCTTAAAGTCTTCTGCATCTCAAGAGGGAAGAAAGAACCCATTAAAAGCACAGTTCTTCTGCTTAGTTCCACCTTGAACTATGTAACAGTTCATCCTAAAACAGCAATCACCTAAGAATTTATGCTACATGTACCCATCAAGATCTACAATTAAAACAGCAAACCTTCTCTATGTTATTTTCTTCTGTCATTTTCTATGCAAATCTACCATTTAGTCAAAGCCAAGTATCTGTCTTGACTAAGGTCTTACTAAATTGAATCTTTACACTGCTTTTAGAAGCAAAGCAAAGAACGGAAACACACAGTGAGCTTTAGTCCTAAAGTACTCCACAATACTGAAATTGCAATCATCTAAATAGTCTCATTTCTCCAAAATGAAATAGAATGTATAGGGAAATGGAAATTTTAATTCACTATGAAGAGCCTAATTAGCTTTGCAGATAAGAACTAAAGGTTTGTGTGGGTTTCTCCAGCCTGCCCTAACCTCCCAGGCTACTCAGACAGATCATTAAATAAATTCATCTGCAGTTGGTGCTGTTGGCCCCACAAAAGTGACCAGTGGCTCTGCTCTGGCCAAACCAATAAATAATAAAATTGAGACTGACATAATTCCTAGGAACCCCTATCTCATCACAACATTTCTAGCAACCTCTGTTACCTAAGAGAGCTCTGCATACTCTTCCCTAGTGTCTAAGCCCACCCTCTCCTTTAGGGAGCAATTCAAGCCCCACCTCATACATGAAGGGGTCCATAACTGCCCCCATTTCAGGGGACTCACTCTACTATGGACCTCTGGGACAGGTGTTTTCTGCATCTCTCAGCTTTTGTTGTTCTATATTAAGAGCAGAATATACCCTCCCTGAGCACAAGATGTTTCTGCTCTAAGTTCCTTTGTATCCTTAAGTTCACGTAGGACAGTGATTTGCACATTGTAGTGGCTCACAGCTTCAGAGCATTCTTCTTTAAGCAGAATTTGTTAAGAGCCTAGTTTTTTAGACTCTAAGCAGTATAAAGAACTTCATTCAAATAGGATACCACACCTCACAAGGAGGTGTAATTGTGAGGCCCCAGTGTGCTTGAGAGGCTCTGGGGGAATCTTCTGGGCTAAACTGGCAAACACCACATTCTCTAGTCTGTAATATTCGGGCAGGTTCATCCTCAACACCTTTTAAAATTTCACAGATCTCACATTCCCCCTCTAAAGATGTGTTTTACTTCCCTTACACTCCTGTTTTATTTATTTCCTATGATGCTTCTCTAGGACAAAGAAATTTAAAAGAAATTCTTAAAAATTAGACCAAAATATAACCTAGAAAGGTCCTATATGAGAATTTTTTTCCAAGGAAAAGGGCAGGTAGAAAGAGTACCTTGGGCCTGGGCAGAATTTTAAAATCACAGTCAGGATAAGAGTAAGAATGACTTTGATTTCAAGTGACAGGAAACCAATTTGAACTAAATAAAGGGAGAAGAGTGGGAACTTTTATAAGAATTCTTAGTATTTTCATGAGATCCAAGTTCGGTAGAACAGCTCCCATCAGTTCTTTAAATGCCAGTATTCCTCTCTCCATTTCTCATAGCTCATTGTGGCTGCCCTTCACATATCTGTTTCATCTCTATCCCACTGTTCCCTTCACTTGCCCTGACTCTCACATTCTCTCTCAACAGCACTTTCTGCTTCTCTTGTCCATATGGCAGTAAACTTGGCCACCAGCAGCTCTGAAACAGCACATCTCATAGCTTCAGTTATCAGACAAGTCATTGAAGATGTTTCTCAATTTTAGTCCAAAGTCTTAGAAGAAGATGCTAATTGGCCTAGTTTTAATCAAATGCCCAAATCTGGAACTAAGGACTAGAGCCAAGAGATAAAGTCATGTTGTCCAAAATGGCTGCCCCACGATAACCGTAGAAGTGGGGATAAATCAGAAAAAGGAAAGAGGGGATCTAAGAAGAAACAAAGTATTCCATGTGGTAGATTTGACCCTTGGCAGGTCCCCTACCTCCAAGAGGAGGCCCTTTTGGTCATTCCTTGTCTGTTATATTTTGCAATGAAACAGAATGCCAAAATGTCTTCACCAGCAAATAAGGGAGTTTCAGTCATCCTAACTGGACACAGTGGTCATATGCTCCTACAGATCGATAGATATATTCAACTTATATTTAAGTCACAGTGAAGAAGTCCTGACTCCATAGAAGAACGCAGATTAAATAACTGATTAAAGCCCGGTGACAGTTACATAAATTTATGGTATGTCAAGAAAATAGTCTTCAGCCACTAAGAATCATGCTTCTAAAGAAGTTGGAATTATACACACCATGCTCACAACAAAAATTGCAGTAAAAGAACAAGGTGTAGAACTTCCATAATC